TGCTTCTGGAATCTCTGTTCTGTTCCATTGGTCTATATGCCTGTTCTTGTACCAATACCAAGCTGTTTTGATTATTGTAACTTTATAATACAGTTTAAAGTCTGGAAGTGTGATACACCTGCTTTGTTTTGTTGTTGTTGTTGAGGATTGTTTTGGAATTCGTGGTCATTTATGTTTCCATATGAATTCCTGTGTTATCGTTTCCAGTCGGAGAAGAATGCTGCTGGTAATTTAATAGGTATTGCGTTAAATCTGTAGATTTCTTTGGGTAAGATGGACATCTTAACAATGTTGATTCTTCCAATCCATGAGCATGAAATATTTTTCTATGTTTTTGTGTCATCTTTTATTTCTTTCAGCAGTGTTTTGTAATTTTTGTTGTAAAGGTTTTTCACATCTCTGCTTGCTAAGATGCCAAAGTATTTCATTTTTCTTTGTGTGGCTATTGTGAATGGGATTGTGCCTTTTATTTGGGCTTCTGTTTATTGTTGGTGTATAGAAATGTGACTGTCTTTTGCACATTTATTTTATACCCTGAGACTTTGCCAAAGTCCTTTATCAGTGCAAGGAGGTTTTTGACAGATTCTCTTGGGTTTGAGGTATAGCATCATATAGTCTGCAAAGAGGGATAATTTGACTTCCTCTTTTCCTATCTGGATACTCCTGATCTCCTTCTCTTGTCTGATTCCTCTGGCTAGGACTTCCAAAACTATGTTGAACAGGAGGGGTGAGAGTGGGCATCCTTGTCTTTTTCCAGTTTTCAGGGGAAATGGTTCCAATTTCTGTCTGTTTAGCAGTATGCTGACTGTGGGTTTCTCATAGGTGACTCTTACTATTTTGAGGTGTGTTCCATCTATGCTTAGATGTTCAAGGGTTTTTATCAAGAAAGGATGCTGAATTTTATCAAAAGCTTTTTCTGAGTCTAATGATTTAATCATGTAGTTTTTAAAAAAAATCTGTTGATGTTTTTAATTATGTTTATGGTCTTTCGAACATAGAACCAGCCCTGCATCCCGGGGATGAAGCCTACTTGGCCGTGGTGGATAATTTTTGAGATGTGTTGTTTTATCCGGTTTGCTAGGATCTTGTTGAGGATTTTAGCATCTATTTTCACGAAGTATATTGGCCTGTAGTTCTCTTTCTTTTTTGAATCTTTACCTGGTTTGGGTATCAGTGTGATGTTAGTTTCATAAAATGATTTGGGAGCCAGGCTCGGTGGCTCAGCCTGTAATCTTGCGCTTTGGGAGGTTAAGGTGAGTGGATTGCCTGAGCCTGTGGGTTCGAGACCCACCTGGGCAACTTGATGAGACCTCATCTCTACTATAAATCAAAAAAATCAGCTGGGCGTGGTAGTGCGTGCCTGTAATTCCGGCTACTCGGAAGGCTGAGGCGGAAGGATTGCCGGAGCCCAGCAGGTCGAGGCTGCGGTGGCCGGGAGCGGCCACTGCACTCCAGTCTGGG